AAACTCAGTTGGAATCATCCTCAGGTAGTGTAGATTCAAGTTTTTTCAAATCATGACCCCCGGGGCAAGGGTGGGGCCAAAATGGCCGACCCTAGTTTTACATAGGAATATATAGGAAAAAATCTTTAAGAATCTTCTTCTCCAGAACCACTGGGCCAGGAAAGATGAAACTCATGTGAAATCATCCTCAGGTAGTGTAGATTCAAGTTTGTTCAAATCATGTCCCCCGGGCAAGGATGGGGCCAAAATGGCCGGCCCTAGTTTTACATAGGAATATATAAGAAAAATCTTTAAAAATCCTTCTCAATTACCACTGGGCCAGGAAAGATGAAACTCATGTGGAATCATCCTCAGGTAGTGTAGATTCAAGTTTTTTCAAATCATGACCCCCGGCCCTGGGGATAGGGTGGGGCCAAAATGGCCGACCCAAGTTTTACATAGGGATATATAGGGAAACCTTTTAAAATCTTCTTTTCAAGTACTTCAAAGCTATGATTAGTGACACCCGGGGTATTTATATGGAATCATCCTTAGGTAGTGTAGATTCTAGTTTGTTCAAATGATGAACGCCTGGAAGGGGGGGGGAGTAAGTTGCAAGCCCATGTGCTCAGGTGAGCGCTGTGGCCCCTGGGCCTCTTGTTAGATTGATTATATTATTTCTGTTTATAATTTCCTTTAAGTTTGTACACCAGTGAGAGGATGGTTACATATCATGAAGTGGAGAGAAGGAATTGGGCTGTCATCACAAGAGAACACTCTAGCTAAACAGACAGACAGTTTTAATTGTGGAGTGTATTGTTTGATAGTGAGTTATGTAATTCTTATATCTTTAGTAAAAGTTCCTATATTTTATTTAATCTTATAGAAAAATACATGTTATAATTATGTGTAATAATTTTCATTTATGCTAGTAAGTATTGCACACCAAAAAAATGTCACATTGAAAGTAACTGTTATTTCTCTCTAAAATTTCTTTAGTTTGCTGAACAATATTTCAACCAGCAACTGTGTGACAAGGTTTCAAATGCAGACCTAAAGAGTGCAAGAGAAAATATAGCAACTTCTCTAATGATGTACAATGGTAAACAAAAAAGCCCTACATATTAAGATTACTAACAAAAGTATATTTGTAAAGCATTCTGAGACTATATAACTTTGATGTGCAATGGTAAACAAAAATATCTTACATTTAAAGTATTTTATATATCTTTGTTGACTTCTCTACTTTACTTGCCAAATGAAGAGTTTTATAATTTCGAAAAGAAATTAAATCGATCAATCATTTTGTGTGAGCATATATCTGATTTTTTGTTTTTGTAACTCGTGCAGTCTACAGCACAGACCGCTGTCCTTGTTGTGGTTTTTAGCTCACCTGAGCCGAAGGCTCAAGTGAGCTTTTCTGATCACATTTTGTCCGGCGTCCGTCTGTCCGTCTGTCTGTCTAGCTGTCTGTCCGTCTGTCTGTCTGTCCGTAAACTTTTCACATTTTCGACTTCTTCTCAAGAACCGCTGGGCCAATTTCAACCAAACTTGCCACAAAGCATCCTTGGGTAAAGGGGATTCAAGTTTGTTCAAATGAAGGGCCACGCCCTTTTCCAAGGGGAGATAATTATGAATTAGAGAAAAATTAATGGCATTTTTAAAAAGTTCTTCTTTTCTCAAGAACCACTGGGCCAGGAAAGATGAAACTCATGTGGAATCATCCTCAGGTAGTGTAGATTCAAGTTTGTTCAAATCATGACCCCCGGGGCTAGGGTGGGGCCAAACTGGCCGACCCAAGTTTTACATAGAAATATATAGGAAAAATCTTTAAAAATCTTCTTCTCAGAACGACTGGGCCAGGAAAGATGAAACTCATGTGGAATCATCCTCAATAGGTAGTGTAGATTCAAGTTTGTTCAAATCATGACCCCCGGGGCTAGGGTGGGATGAAATGGCCGACCCAATTTTACATAGAAAGATGTAGGAAAAATCGAGAAAACTCTTCGTCTCAAGAACCACTGGGCCAGGAAAGATGAAACTCATGTGGAATCATCCTCAGGTAGTTAGATTCAAGTTTGTTCAAATCATGACCTCCGGGGTTTTACATAGAAATATATAGGAAAAATCTTTAAAAATCTTCTTCTCAAGAACCACTGGGCCAGGAAAAATGAAACTCATGTGGAATCATCCTCATGTAGTGTAGATTCAAGTTTGTTCAAATCATGACCCCCGGGGCTAGGGTTGGGCCAAAATGGCCGACCCAAGTTTAACATAGAAATAAGTAGGAAAAATCTTTAAAAATCTTCTTCTAAAGAACCACTGGGCCAGGAAAAATGAAACTCATGTGGAATCATCCTCAGGTAGTGTAGATTCAAGTTTGTTCAAATCATGACCCCCAGGGCTAGGGTGGGGCCAAAATGGCCGACCCAAGTTTTACATAGAAATATATAGGAAAATCTTTAAAAATCTTCTTCAAGAACCACTGGGCCAGGAAAGATGAAACTCATGTGGAATCATCCTAAGGTAGTGTAGATTCAAGTTTGTTCAAATCATGACCCCCGGGGGCTAGGGTGGGGCCAAAATGGCCGACCCAAGTTTTACATAGAAATATATAGGAAAAATCTTTAAAAATCTTCTTCTCAAGAACCACTGGGCCAGGAAAGATGAAACTCATGTGGAATCATCCTCAGGTAGTGTAGATTCAAGTTTGTTCAAATCATGACCCCCGGGGCTAGGGTGGGGCCAAAATGGCCAACCCAAGTTTTACATAGGAATATATAGGAAAAATCTTTAAAAATCTTCTTCTCAAGAACCACTGGGCCAGGAAAGATGAAACTCATGTGGAATCATCCTCAGGTAGTGTAGATTCAAACTTTTTCAAATCATGACCCCCGGGCTAGGGTGGGGCCAAATGGCCGACCAAAGTTTTATATAGGGATTTATAGGGAAACCTTTTAAAATCATCTTTTCAAGTACTTCAAAGCTATGATTAGTGATATTAATATGGAATCATCTTCAGGTAGTGTAGATTCTAGTTTGTTCAAATCATGAACCCCTGGGGGGTTAAAATTCAAGCCCCCCTGTAAACTTTCATTTCTGATCTGATATGTGCTTTTTCCAAGCCAATGTGCTCAGGCTAGTGCTGTGGCCCCTGGGCCTCTTGTTGGCATATGCAGAAGAAACAGTAAGTTAAGTCTAAACATTTTTAAACAATTTCAAAGGAAAAGATATTATTCATTTAATCTTTCATTACAAAGAAAGAGGAAAATGGAAAGAAAAGAGTTAAATTCATTATAAATTGATCTTAAAAACAAATAAAATAAAAAAAAAAATTAAATTGCAGATCACATGTGAATTGTGCTCAAGAAAATTTCACAGGACCGAAGCCTGTTTAGGATCTGGATGCATGTCATTGGAAACAATCACTTGCCGGATGTGTTCCATGAAATTCCAGGTAATTGTCTAAGCATTCATTTTACATAGTGCATGGATGTAACATGTACTATTTCAATAATAATTTAATTTCTCTTGTATCAAGCAATTTCATTGGCTGAATCATTCCGAGGAACATATAATATTTTGGATAACATAACTTGCCTACATCACAATGAATTACGTCAAAAACGTATTACTGCGCTTGACGTTATTTTTAAAATAATGCTCAATTCAAAGCCTTTTCCGGAGGAAATATTGTCGCAGTGTCTACATTGAAATTAAATTTTATAAAGCATAAACTGCCCCAAGTTATGTTATATCGAATAACATAAGTTGAAATAAGCTTCATTCCTTAATTAAATAAATATTAATGGCTTGTTGTTTTTTAAATAAAGAAATCCTCATATAATCATATTTAATCTTTCATAAATATTAGGAGAAACCATCCAAGAGGAAATCAGACAATGGAGAAATTGGAAATGAAAAAAATCTTAAGAAATGGAAAGCAATGGAAAATGGTTTGAAAATTTTAGAATAATTCTGTACATGTATATCATTTCATATTAAAACTGAGTTTTCACTTCCAAATCATGTATTACTATTAGTTTATTGTACTGGTACTTTAAATATTTTATTCAATTTCAGCCAAGTCTGATGTACTGTTCACAAGAAATGGATCAGATCAAAACTTGGAAGCATCAGGAAAAAATGCAAAATTTCATGTGAATAGTAATGGTGGGTATTTTTTTCAAATTTTTACAAATGAAGTGTATCTGTCATTGTTATTTTATATATTTATACTGTCCAATTGTACATGTATTCACCAGGCTATGATTTGGTAGAGAATTTATGGTCATTAGAAAAGGATTTCAATTTTCCAGTGGCTAATGTATTTGGTAAAGTAATCATGGACACAGACATTCGTTCATTAAAAAGTAATTAATGTCTCACTGACAGGGTATGTATAAAAATATTTAATGAAAACAAGAACTCAATTGCATGCCAGCTCATATAAATTGTTTAGCCATATTCATAAAGAATCATCTAAACAATGAGTAAATTCAAGTTCAATCATAGGCAACGAAACCGGGGTCTTATAGCCCCCCCCCCCCCCTTTAATTTGCTTCTGATGCAAATGTCAGTTATGTCTTGACCTCTTTGCATTTTAACAAGTCTTTGCAAAGAAAATAAGGGAAAGGGTAACATTTCCAGTAATTAAGCTCATGGACCACTATTCTTTAATTCGATCATTTGTTTTTCCAAGATTTTTATTTCAGAAATAATGCCCACATATATTTTATACTAGGTCATTGGCTGTTATTTGTTGTTGCTGGCCACTCAACAAAATGAATTAGGAAGAAATGTTGTACACTATGACCAAACCAAAATGACAGGGATCATAAATTCAGACTTCCGATTACCAGATGTATCCCAAAACTCTGTAAGTGAAAAGACGTACTAATTATATAAATTGTATCAAATACAGTTAATTAACTATCGTTATTTTGTGTCTTAACAAAAGAAGACAGAGCTAGGTCACTATTTTGATACCAATCTGCATTAAAATGTATTCACATTTACAGGGTATAGATGTATCTGAGGCAGATGTTATTGTGGGAGTGTATCACAGGTCATATCATTGGACTTTAGTGGTGAGATTTTTTGTTCACACTATGTTTTGTTAATATGAGTTTGTAAACCATAGCAGTATTACCACTTTTCTTTACTTTAGATTGTTGAAGTAAGAGAAGGCAAGATTTTTTTCTAAACCCATGTGGAGAGAGGAGCCATGAGATGAAAAAAATTGAGAGGAGTTGGAGGTATCCACTAAAAAAAACCTTTATGTTGACCTTGACTTGTCCCATGATATATCTGGTTTGTGCTTTTGAATTTTCTCACAAGTCATACTTTTTTTATTGTTAAAGGAAATATGACAGTGAATATCGGAACAAGTACCAAATAAGCAACAAGTCACCAGATTGGAAGAAATGTACAAGTCCACATGCTCTCCAGAGAGATTCATTCAACTGTGGAATATATTGCCTTGTGGTATTGTCTTTGTTTTTCTATATATGCCACATCAATACATGTATATATACCATCTGAATATTTGGACTAGCTTATATATTTGTCCATAAAATAGGACAGCACATGGTTTTCCACAAAAAATTCATCACGATTCAAATTAATACCTTTCCATTATGGTTGATATTATCTGTTCTGTCGTTCATTTTATTTCTATGACAGAAGATTATGTTACTTTTTTGAAATTCTATTTTAGTTTGCAGAGAAGCATTTAAATGGACACTTGCATGATCTACAAAGTATAACTAAAAAAGATCTACAAAACATGAGGAGAAAAGTAGCTTTAGAGTTGATGCTTTACAAAGGTATTTATTTTGTATTCATTTTGTTGCCCCCAGATCGAAATATCCCAGGGGTATAGTGTTTTTGTCCCATCCTGTCTGTCTGTTGTCAACTTTAACTTAATTAGCCCATAACTATTGAGTGAGTGGGGTTATGGTTTTCATTTTTTTCAGGTGCATTCCTTGTGAAAATACCTTTTTTGTGTACCTCGAAATTGACATCTTGACCTTGAAATTTGACCTGCTTTCACAAAAAAAAACAAAAAAACCATACATTAACCTTGGCCATAAATTGTGAACAATTAAAGCTGGGGCTTTCATACTTCACATGTGTATTTATTGTGACAAAACATATAGTGTTTTTAATGTCTGTCTTCCGTCCTTCTGTCCTTCCATCCTTCTGTCACACTTTGCGTTAAGCTTTGTTCAATGCTAAGTTTCAAAGAAACTATCCAAGATATTTTCATCAAACTTCATATGCTAGCTGATGCATACTGATGAGAGCTATTCAACTGCACCAACATTTTTTTACCTTGACATTTCCTATGACCTTGACCTCAATTTTCTTAAATTAGTGTTTAGCTCAGTTTTAAACATACCATTTAAGATGGTGTTATCAAACTTCACATATCGATGCAAACTTGCATGGATGATGCATCTAGGGATGAACACTACCAGACTTGCTTTGGATGCTGGATCTGACCTATATTTTCATTCCCAAGTAGGTAACTATAAGCCCTATCTGAACCAAATTTGCATGGATGATGCATCTATGGATGGACACTACCAGACTTGCTTCGGATGCTGGATCTGACCTACATTTTTATTCCCTAGTAACTATCAGCCCCACCTGAACCAAACATCAAATTTTATACACATACAAATTTTCATGTTGCTTTACTAATATATCCTTGGTGTGGCATTCATGTCCTATGGACATATTTCTAGTTTGACCTTTACCTAAGAGTTTGACCCACATTTAAAAATATTTGACCTTGTTTATAACTTTTGAACAGTTAGAACTAGACTTTCATTTTTCACTTGTCACATTAGACCCAGCCTCCTTTGGGTACCAATACTTTTTACTAGGGATGGCAATCGATTGCAGAATTGCTAATCGGTTAACTGCAAGACGTTCTGACCGATTAACCGGTTATTCGTATCAAGATATATACACTTTAATAATTTTTTTCAAATACACAAGAAGGCTATAAAATGCGTTAGAAGTTATATTCTGTTTATCAATCTTGATCAGGAATTTGATTCATAAAATTAAATTTTATTTTAATTTCAATAGAAAAAAAAATTACGAAAACTAAGAATTGTGCCTGAGAAATCAAACATGGATAATTTTCAAAGAAGTTAAAGAAGTTCATTCTGCATTGTCATCATAATCAAAACTTTGTCTGAACTGTAACTTTGTTCTTTTTAATTGTTTGATTTAAAAGATAACGGCAAAATAAAGACATACTAATTATCAAAGTACTGAAAGTACTGAAAAGCGGTTAGCATGCTTTCATCTAATATGTACCGGAAAAAGTGCATGAAATGATGATAATTAAGTATGCATATCTTTGTCCAATGTCATCAGATAAAAAATAACAGGCATTCTGTTTTTGTAATACTTTACTTTACTGTTTTTGTAATACTTTACTATGTTATTGGTTTAGTAAAACCAATAACATTCCAAACTGATGTCACAGATGGATGCAATCTAATTAAAATTAGATGTTCCGAATCCGCTACTGCTTCTCAAACATCTAACAACATCATATTTGGGGTCATGTAGAGAGTGAATCTTCGATTAGCCAAAGAAAACGGTTCCTCCGAAATCTTGGCTCATAGTTCAGATGGGTTTCTTGTTTTCACCACCGTACCAAAACACCCGAGGAGTTTTGTAGTAAACAAAATATGCATTGCATAAGCTGTGTTATGTATGACGTGTGGGTATCTTGTATAGTTTGTGCTCTTTCGTTTGCATTATTCACGTGCAGATGCCAGACTGCAGACTATACATGAAATTGATTCCAAAATTACTTTAATTCAACGTAAGACAGTATCAATAATGATGATATGTAGCCGTGGAATTAATTTGAGAATTGTTTACTGAGGCTTGAATCTACATGGCCAAAGTTTTCGTGTTTACTAGTACATGTATTCATAATTGAAAGGTCGCTCTGATGTGATCCCGGATGGGATGTTAGATGTTTGAGAAGCAGTAGCGGATTTGGAACATTTAAATAAATTTTGATTAGATTGAAATGCATGTTTCAAAATTTAAACATGAGATTTCTTCAGTTTGAAAGACAGGAAGTTCATTTTTAAAAGTTCTCTCTTGGTGGCATCCTATCGTTCTCTGGATGAAAACAATTATGTTGATGTTGAAAATTTAATTGTCTTTCATGCTCTATTGAATCTGAAGTTAGGTAATTGTAAAGCCTAATATAGCAAACAACTAAAAAAATGACAAATCAAATTCTTTAGAATAATGGATTTGGAGTAGTGTAGATCTACAGCTGGCTAGTCAGAGAAAAAAGGATGACTGAGCAGAGACTTTGTAAATGAATTGATATCAAAGAACTCAAGTTGTATAGGCTCATCGCAGGTATAACCTGTCAACGAGGGATGCTTACTTCTTCTAGGCAACGGATCCCACCTCTTGAACTTTCAGGAGTCAGCTTTTCTTCTTAACTCGATCATTGATCATTTTGTATTTTTATACAGATACTGAATACTTCCGTTTAGTAATATTATGAACTACTACTTCTACGGGAAGACTGGCGAGTAAACAAGATTATCAAGCTTTATGAAATGTACTTTATTGACTTTTCAAACAAGTAAATGTTCGAATAAAGTAAATGGTATATGAGAATCATTTAAAAGAAGTCTTGCACGATATGTCTAGATAAGGACATATAATGTGTATTTGCCATATACTCTTCATGCAATATTGCTCTCAAATAAAACATGTGAAAAGGAAATTTGTGTAATCAAAAAAATACTAGTATTTAAAAATTCAAATGTACACTTAAAGTCAGTGTAACTTAAGAAGTTATCAGTGTCACTTTCTTCAATATGTCGGTTAAACAATTTTATACACCGATTTCTTTTCTATCAATGTGCCTTTAAACACCCTGTATCTTAATTTAATTCTTCTCAAACGCTCGAAATAATGATCGACAAATTGGACAATTCAAATTTAAAAAGTATTTTCACAGCTAATAATACGTTCCCTAGGAATTGGTCAACTTTTCAAAACTTATAAATAAACATTAAGTATAAATTTTAAATTTTTGCTAATTGCCAAGATTTTTCATACCTCATTCTTCTGTGGTTGATTTTTAGAAGAGGGTCACAATGCCGATTAAAATTAATATATATTTATCCTTTTTTTTTCAAAATTAATTTTTCTACTTTAAGTGCCCCATTATTTTTTTCAAAACTAAAAGTAAGTGATCCCTTATGATCGTTTGTACATGTAATAAATTATCAAAGACGGAGCAGAGAATTTACCTCTGGGAGCTGAGCTTTTATAACTGTTTATTAGACAGAGAAGAAAAGAGAAGAAAACAAACGTTTCATTGTGGAGGCAATCCTATTGTTTCCATAAAAACGTTACAAAAATTGTTAAACTTGCAGATGTATTCGGTGTTTTTATATAAACGTTTTTCAGGTATGACTTGACTTAATAAATGGTGTTTCTTAATACTTTGACAAGGAAAATCAAACTCGATCGAGAGATTTGCTGATGTTTTTGCAGTCTGTTATAACCTTCAACCTGCTGTATAATTAACCGCATCGTTCAACTTTCAAAGATAAACTAACAGTTGCTATAAATCGCGATCGCACGATGTACATGTAATAAGGACGAAATTCTCAGTTCTTTGAAGTTAGTGTTCTAAGTATTGTCAATGCTTTGGTAAATACTAATAAGAATTTGATATAATCGTTGTAATAGCCACTCTTCATACACAGAATATTGTCAATCTCTCACCAGGGGGCGTATTACGCCAACAGTATACAAATCATAGAAAGCGCTTTGCTGAAGTTACCGTTGTCGATAGGTAGCGCCTTGTGGAAGTTTCCGGTTTTGGTTGCAGAAGGATAAGGTTACGTGCGATAAAGCGATGTCGATAGGTAGCGCCTTATGGAAGTTTCCGCTTTTTTGGAGCCCATGCCATAAAGCGGTTAGCTAGCTAACAGCTTAAAAAGGGTTAACAGTGATGTTTTTAAAATCATTAAACATCACAGGACAATCGGGGTAACAGGTATGATTTTAAAAACAGTAATTAACACTTTACAAACTGACAAATTGCCCCGCGATTTCCTTCTTGAGAGCCATAATTACGTAATTACCTCCAAATCATCTTTATTATAATATGTGTGTAACATTGAATGAAATTTTATGCAGTGGTTTCTTTTCAACAAAATGAATTTGATAAAAACTGCGTTCAAATTTACATATATTTCATTTTTTCCGACTAACCGATTACGGATTTTCTAACCGAATAGCATCGTTCCGACTGATTAATCGATTAACCGGTTACGAATTGCCATCCCTACTTTTTACCTTTGAAGTTTGAGGGAATTAATTCAACCCATGCCTCAAGCTGCAATACAGGGGCATCAGTGTTTCACAAACACATCTTGTTAGACTTCCAGTTATAATAATGGAAAAGAAATCAGGACATGTCTAGTTAAAATAAGAGATTTGAATAGTACAGAACTTTAAACTTCTTTTTTCATTACAGTTAACTTGACAGGATGTTGCCCAAAATGTGCTAAAAAAATTGAAAATGAAGAAAAGGTAGATCTTACAATGATAACACACCATGCATATCAAAGTCTTCCTATAAAATGAGAAAGAAAATGTTTACCAACAACTTCACTCAAACTATGGTTTACCTTGAAATTAATACATATAACTCAGATTCGTATTGCTTTATTCTACAGATATCAGAGTAAATACTTCAACCATACTAGATGATCTGACAGCAACATATTTCAGATTTTTTTTAATCATGTAATTCATTTTCAATCTTGTTTGTCAACTTTATTATACATCTCTTTTTTTTATCTATCAAAGATTGAATGCAGCATGTGCCAAAGAGCCTACCACTTTAAGCCTTTCTGCATTGAAGAGGACATGGATGTTGAAGAATTCACAGAATTTAAATGCAGAATGTGCAGAATAAATTTCTGGGTAAATAAAATCAATTCAAAAGACATACTTTCACTTTGGACTCCAGCATTAAATGCTCTCCTCTCTCTCTCTCTTTCTCTCTCTCTCTTTCTCTCTCTCTCTCTCTCTGTAAGGGTGTGTGTCTATCTGTTGGTCTCTCATTCGGTCTTTAATTCTGTATCATTATTTGTGTTGAAGGGAAAGGATGAAGCTGACTTGGAATCTGTTAACAAAGAAGCTGCCAAGGTAAAACAACTAAGTTTTTTTTTAATTTACAAAGTAACAAATAATCGTCTTATTGATGATACAGAAAACATTAATACTGCAACAACAAACTTCACAGAAAAATTTAACTCTATTATTCATCAATGCATACCTGAAAACACTGTAACTATTAGGACAAATGATAAACCATGGATGGACTCTCTTCTAAAGAAAACTTTGCGTATTCGCAATAGGCTAAGAAAAATAGCACAAAAAACAAAAAGAGAATCTGATAAGGAAAACTTTCGGAAGGTAAGGAATAAGTTTAATAATATGAAAAAATATGCTATTAAAAACTATTATGACAATATAGATTCTCATCTTAAGGATGCTAGTCTGAACAATCGAAAACTATACTGGAAGTTACTGAAAGATACTTCTCACATTAAACCGACAAATGAAATTCCACCTATTCAGTTTACAGACGACAATGGCAATGAAAGTTTTGCATTTTCAGACATAGATAAAATAGAACTATTAAACAAATATTTCACATCAATTACAGAGTTAGATGACAGTAATCAAGAGCTCCCAAATATAGTGTCAAGATGTACGGATAATTTTCCACACATTGAAATACAAGAGCAAGAAATCATTGATATAATTTCTATTATTCCTGTCAATAAAGCCGTTGGTCCTGATTGCATCAGCCATAAAATGTTAAAATCTTGCAAAGAAACTATCTCAAAACCTTTGTGTATACTATTCAACAAATCCCTATCACTAAAAACATTTCCAGACTGCTGGAAACTAGCACATGTTCTTCCACTTTTTAAGAAAGATGACCCTTCCATCACTTCAAACTATAGACCAGTTTCTTTGCTAAGTTGTATAAGCAAAATTTTTGAAAGAATAATTTTTAAGCATGTTTACAATTTCTTGTATTCACATAATATATTTTATAAATACCAGGCAGGTTTTTTACCAGGTCATTCCACAGTATATCAACTCTTAGAAACATACCATTCTATTGTAAAAAGTGTTGATGAAGGTAAATTCTGTTGTATGGTGTTTTGTGACTTATCAAAGGCATTTGATAGGGTCTGGCATAAAGGCCTAATTTACAAATTAAAAATGTATGGAATTAATGGGGATATGCTAGATTGGTTTGATAGTTATTTAAGCAAAAGAACCCAACAAGTCATGTATAGAAATCATTTTTCCTCTGTAGGACAAGTAAAAGCTGGAGTTCCCCAGGGCTCAGTACTTGGTCCCCTATTATTTTTATTATATGTAAATGACGTGGCTGAAAATATGATATCTGTTTGTAGACTATTTGCTGATGATAATTCTTTACAACAATGTTCAAATAATGTTAATCATATTGAACAAAATCTTAACCATGATCTTAGAATACTAGATGAATGGTCAAAGAAATGGTTATTGAAATTCAACCCACAGAAAACCAAAGCAGTATTTTTTAATATGAAAAATGTACAGCATTTTCCTAAATTATTTTTTGACAATTGCCAATTGGAATATGTTACAGAACACAAACATCTTGGGATACTTCTGTCGTCTAACTTAGGATGGTCTGATCATATTGATACCATTATAAAGAAAGCATACAAAAAACTGGGGCTTCTTAAAAAATTAAAATTTACTGTGTCAAGAGATATTCTATCCCAGATGTATATATCTTTTATTAGACCACAACTTGAATATGCTGTTGAAGTTTGGTCTGGATGCACAAAAACAGACATTGAGAATCTTGAAAAAGTACAGTTATATGCTGCAAGAATAGTTACTGGGCTTACAATTATTGCTTCAAGAAATTCTTTATATTTGGAAACAGGCTGGGAACCACTGGAATATAGAAGAAATAGGGCAAAACTAATAACAATGTATAAAATGCACAATAATTTAGTCCCTATTTACTTGCAAAACTTAGTACCTGATACAAGAGGCAATATTTCAGGATACACTACCCGTAATTCTTTAAATTATTCTTTGCCAAAATACAGATTAGAACTCTCCAATAAATCATTTATTCCCGATACTGTTAGAAAGTGGAATTCCCTTAGTCTAAAAACAAGGGAGGCAACTTCTATTAAAACTTTCAAAAACTATCTGCAAAACAGTAATGCAAAACCTCAGAAATATTTTTCATATGGAAAAAGGTTTTTGAACATAATTCATACAAGATTAAGACACAATTGTATTTTAAAGTCTGATTTATATCGCTGTAACCTAATAACCAGTCCTAATTGTTCTTGTGGACTACTAGAAGATACATATCATCTGTTTTTTGTTTGTAAATATTATGTAAAAGCAAGAAATTCCTTAATGAATAAGCTATTGTCATTAAATTATTTACATATTATAGATGTACATTTGATGCTATGGGGCGATGATTCTCTAACTTTTGAACAAAATGCTGAACTTTTCAAGACTATTCAAACTTTCTTAAATGAATGTGGTCGTTTTTCAAAATAAGTTTACTTTTTTATTTTTTTTCCTCACCATCTCAAATTATATTTGTATATTTAAAGAATTTATTCCTTTCTATTGCTACAATGTATACAATGTATATAGTAGACCATATGTATGTATGTTTGTTTTACTTTGGCAATTTCACAAAATGTTATATCAGGAGAGGACTATCTAAGTTTCTGAACTTGTGTCTGATCCTTTTGACTTTGTCAATAAAATATGTTCAATTCAATTCAACAAATAGAATGATAGGGTATTTGAATTTATTCAAAGAATTGCTTTTATTTTTATACCCCTTCTATCAAGGAAGGGGGGGGTATACCGTTTTACCCTTGTATGTCTGTCTATATACTTTGTTGAGGCATGCAGTATGGTCGGATTTATTTTTATTTGAATCTGATGTCAAATTCTTATTTTTCCATGCATATACATGTACATGTAATGTTTATTAATATGTTCTTGTATATTCACATCAGAGCAGGGGTATTACTAGTGAGCATAGGCTCACAGATTTCTAGTTCACCTGTTTCATAATTATGCATGCTTGCGCAACACTACAAAATTAATTTTATTATTACACTAAATAATGCATATTTAATATTTAAATATTCTTGCTTTTCAAGGATTGCCCTACCCTCTCATATGATCTAAGAAAACATCCAAAAAAAGGTATTTTTAAAGTTTCAGTTTTTATAAATTGTGAATTTTTGTTAAAGTAAAATCATATGCACATACAAACAATTATGTTATAATCAGATGCACAGCATATGTACTGATATGTTGGAAGTTTAACATGTAAGTAATTAACTGTGAAACCCATTTTATATCAACTACTTAATTAATAGGTAACTTGTTTTACAGAAGAAAGTGACCTTATGCTTTCTTTTTATGCTAATATTCAAGAAGAAAATATGTCGTTAGAATATACATGTATGAATATTTATTAAACTTTATTTCAGAAGAAAAAAAGAACTTCTTTTTTATATCCTGATGTTAGGGGAAGGTAGAGATTCCCTTTAAAAGAGCATGATGTTGCATTTTTTCCTGCATAGTTTTCTATTGTTATTCATATTTGATTATGAATTTCATAGTTCTAAAGGACATATTTTAACTATCAATACAGAAGATGAAACTTTTAAATAGTAATGTCTTATTAGTGTGTTTTTGTACTGTCTTACAATAATTAATGAGAGAGAAGCAATTTATTTATGAGATACATAAATACCTGATTAGTTTTATTTGCTGAAATTTGCATGACTGTTCAGAATCATAAGAAAATCTGGGGAAAAAGTATGCACATGTACCCTAAACAATTCATTTTGCTCTCTGAGTGATATATATATATATATATATATATATATATATATATATATATATATATATATATATATATATATATATATATATATATATATATATATATATATGTATATATATATATATATATATACAGAGCTTACTCCACTTATATTGAACTCGCTTATTTTGAAATAAAAATAAATCCCCAGTTTTTGACTCTCATATCCTTTGCATTAAACTAACGGTTATATTGAAATTGGCTATATTGAAAAATCGTTTATATTGAAGCCACTAATCGGTCCCCGCTGGTGATAATGAGTTGTTTTAATAACGGTTATATTGAAGTACTCCCTGGCGGCTGTCGTTACGGTTGGTAACAGAAATTATGCCTGACTGACCAGTTGATTTAAAAGGGTGTGAATAATTAAGTTTTCACCTGATGTGTTTTTATAGGCTACTGCATGCTCTTACGAAATATAATTATTTACTGCTAAATTCTTTGTTTCCATGTATATATTAAATACAGAAGTATTTAGGCTAAAGGCAACATAGTAACCCCCACAGATCTAGAAAAAACTTAACTTTTGAATTAAATACGTACTGTTAATGGCTAATGATAAACCTAAATTCGAAGCTAAGAGATCAACCCGTCGGGAGTACACTTAGTAAAAAATACATGCAGCTTTCAGCAGTACTCAACAGTTTGACATCGGTGATTTTTCTCCAAAATGTAAATAAATGCGATCGGGGAATAATAACATGAATAATGAAGTTGAAGATTGATAAAAAAAGAAAGAAAAAAAATCATTTATATGTTCAAATACTAATATTTCATATAATCTGTACACTGTTATACGTATACGATGACAAAATTAATTTGTTCGGATTTGTTCTTTAATTAAAATCGGGATTGAACTTGTAATAAAAAAAATGGCGGCTTCGCGATTTCGCTTATATTGAATTATGGTAATATTGAAATAATTTTCATGGTCCCCTGAATTTCAATATATCCGGAGT